TCTCTCTCTCTCTCTCTCTCGCACACACACACACACACCCCTCCCTGTGTTAAGCTAACGTAGCACCGGGCTGCAGGAGAAGACCCAGAAGTTGCCACATGTCTCTTCTCACAGAAAGAAGAAGTAAAAAGATGAGACGGGAGGTTTACAACATTTAACAAAAGACAAAAAGAAAACAAAGACGACGTGTGGGTTTAGGGTGCAGCTAACGTGGTTAGCACGTCTGACAGCGTTAGCCGGGCTGTGTTAGCATCACACCGATTCGCAATAAACCGGAAAAGAAAAAGCGGCGCTTTAGCCTCGTGCTCTGGATTTTATTTTTAAACGCCAAATGTAAAAAAAGCTGATCGACGTCGTAACATCGACCGCACCGTGGCGCTCACCTGCAAACAGTGGTGGAGCAGTGATTTTCGTCCGTCGTGTCGCTGTGGATCCGCGGAGCAGACTGACCGAGAGACTCGCCTCTTTCTTCCGGGATGTTGGAGGGAGTTTACCCGGCAGTCCCCGCGCCTCGTCCCCGCCCTGCCACCATTCCTTTCCCATATAAGGAGCGTGAGAGGCAGAAGGAAGAGAGAAAGAGAGAAAGAGAGAAAGAAAGAAAGAGAGAGAGAAACTGTGAAAGAGTTGTTTTTCTATCAGGAGTTATCTGCAGGAGACGACGTGTCGTTCATTTCCTCCTGCAAACATCACTGGGTCCGCGCAGAGGAGGAGGAGGAGGAGATCTGCAGACACGTGTGATGCATGTTGTTTAGAACATGTTTGCAGATGTTTCCAGGCTCCTGGTGTGACTGTCTCATTTATTGCACACATGTGTGTGACGTGTTACAAGCAGCTGTACCTGCACCAGATACTCTAACTATCTGTGTTACACCCACCGAGGGTCTGACATCTTTGTTTGGGGCCTCAGGAAACTTCACTTTAGCTGTAAGATGAGATAAAACTTTGCTGATCCACACACCGGGAAAATTCAGTCGTGACAGCAGCAGGCAGATCACAATGAGGGAGTCAACATATTACATTATATACACACTTTTTACTGGTTTGTGCACAGGGTGATTGCATGTTTGTAAAAAAAAAATATAAGGACACATTGTGATGTGCAGATGACACAAATGTGCAAAAGGTGATTGTCCGTCTGACAGCAGTTCCTTTTTGTTTGTTTCATTTCAACAGAAAACAGCAGAGGAATACAGAACAATATCATGTTCACAGTAATGTTTCACTGTGGAGAGGCCCTTTAATAAAATCTAGTTTAAAGCCTAAACTGTTAAAGATTGTTACCTTCGCTAATATTGTGAGGTCGGGTGTCAAATGTGACATTTTCACCAACCTCTCAGGGAATTATTCGTGGATCTTGGTGAGAAACAGTCGGAATATTTAGGAGATTGATTAAGAGGGAGTGAAATCTGATTGAATTAAAGGGGACTGGAGGAGTTCACTCCACTTAGTGCCTCCTTAGCTTATTCTGTGCACACATTGTGCACGTTACTGGATAAGGTTTCAGATAAAGTTTTGTTTCATCAAATTGAAAAGATAACCATTACATCAACATATCGTTTTTAAAAAGAAAGGTTATTGATATTGTCTTGCAAGAGAAAAAAAGAGGCCCAGATATCGTAACTTTGATTAAAGTATTAGAGCCATAAACTTTGAAATTTCCCATAATGCAACTAACAGCATGTTTTATTAGACCCCTCCTGCCTTGTGCACGCCCGTGTCCGTTCACCCAGTTTAAAACAGACCAGACATGTTCTGTCTCAGTGCGTCTAAGCTAAAAGGAGATTGTTACATAACAGCAGTAAGACGCTGAGTGGTATTAACCCCGAGGAGCAGACTGGTCTTTTCAGAGAGGTGGAGGAAAACGTAGACCTGGAGCAGAGGCCGCAAATCAGTGGCCACATGGACAAACTGTCAGGTTGGATATTTATTTTCTTACATAAACCTGACACACCTTCAATCTTCAGCATCCCAGAGTCGCTCGTAGAAAACGGTCACTGGCGTCTGTGTCTATCCACCATCATCGGAGGGAAATTACATCTTTAAATGAGCATCAGAAGTTATGGCCTTTGATCGTACAGCACATTGTGTTAATGGAGCTGCAAAGACTTGAGGTTAATGGGATCATAAATGTGAAATAAACAAATGACAGAACTGCAGGTTTATATTTCAGCCTTTGTCCAGCAATGCTGGAGAAAGAGTGTGTTAGAGGGAGAGTCTGAAGGGGAAGGCTGAATTTAACTGTTGGATAATCCTGTATGTGTTTTCTATCGATGTAAAAGCCACAGACATATTACAGGACCATAAAAGCTTTTGGTGAATTGTTTTCGACTCGTTTGCTTCACATTCACAGCTGGGACATGATATTCAGTTAATAACAACAACATCTCTGGAAGATGTCAAGAAACAAGCCGACATGAGAAAAAGAACAAATTGAATTTTTATTTTCATTTACAGATGATCCAGTTGCATCAGGTCTGGTCACACAAAGAAAGAAAAAGGAATAATCCTTCAGTGAAACAAATGTTTAAATTAGATTCCCTTCATTTAACAGTTGCTACCTTTTCCTCTGTCTGCCTTCACAGTGGACTCCATCAGAGTCGAGGTCAATTCACTTCGACAAATCCCAAATGTGACGGGAAAGTGTTGCACATGTGAGAAATGCTGAATTCTCGGATGGTGAATTTTTTTAATATATATTTTAACTTATGGGAAAAAGGTAAACGCCTAAACAGGAAATGAGTGAATCAACATCAAACCTTGGCAATGACACCAAAATAATTTCAATTTGACGTGCAAAAAAAAAGAGAAATGGCTCAAATATAAAATGATTTCAAAGTATGAAAAGATGACATTTTACAGTGTTTGCACTTCACTTGAATTTACTTTGCCTCGCAGAAGTTGGAAAAAAAATGGCGAAAAACCTTAAAAATAATAACACTAATAATAAACCTCTGCCCTGGTGTGACGCTGAGACCGAGCAGGGGCAGCAGAAGTAACATCAGCGTGAAATGACTGAACAGTAAGGAACACGATTGCTTATTTCACACAGAGTACGAGCTAAACTGAGTGAACAGTTTGTACAGGATGTACCCTTTCCACATTCAACAACCAAAGAAAAAGTTCCTCAAAATGTGGACTCGCGGATCAGTTTCACATTCTGCATGCAAAGCCACCACACACTGAGGTGTAATACAGATGAGTTCCGTGGTTAAAGTTTTCATTCAGCGCAGTTCGGCCCAGAAACATCTCTGATTACTGCTCCGTTGTTGTTCTTCCTTCTGTCTCCTCTCTGTTATTACAGACTCCCTCCTGTGTCCCGCTCCTGGTGTACCCGTAGCGATGAGCTCCTCTCAGAAGAAGCAAACATCGCTCAGATTAACCTCCTGATCTTGTCGTGTTTGTGGGGAGAAATAATTTGTTTCCTAGGATTAAGCTCAGTTTGATGTTTGTATGAGGACGCATTGATTTTTGTAACAAACGGAGGATTAGTGATCATTTGTTTTGTCTTGGTTGTGTCACTTGTACTGATGTTGTTTTGTTATCCTCAGATTAAACTAAGTGAAAATGTACCGAAAGAAAATCAAAGATAAACGTGGTTTTCCGAGTGATAATTAACCTCCACCGAGAAAGTTAGGTTTTCATTTCTGTTTGTTAACAAAATCACAGAAGAACTTCTGACCTGATTTTCTTGAAATCTTTTTTTGACGTTTTCCCTGATTTCACGAGAAATAATTAATGGATCTCGATTAAAACAATGTTGGGCCTTGGCGGAGGTCATGTACAAACTAATTACGGAGAACGCCTCTGAACATGAGCTGCATCCGGGTTTGATTAAAGATCAAATATGCTGATCTAGTTGAAGCGTTTTCTCCACTGAACGCAGCAGCGGCCTGTGTTTCCAGCTGAAGTTCCAACTTTAACCATCACAGATCAACCAACGAGACAAAATAAGACTAAACCTGACATGAAATCAAAGTGCATGGACACTTAATCACAGCGTAAAGGTTGTTTGTTTAAAACAAAAAAAACAAAGTGGTCTTCAAGGTTCAAGCAGTCGTTACATGACTTCATACTGAGATGAGGGAGGAAGCAGTGTCGGGACGATTACCGTTGTGAACTTCATGTCTTTCTCCTCATTATCTTCCCCCGCTGAGAGCAAACTCATTACCATTGTGTGATCCAGTGTGTGTGTGTGTGTGTAAGTAAGTGTGTGTTCCAAGGGATTTAATCCACAGTGAAACCTTCAAAATAAAAGCATCTGCCTCAAACCGCCATAACTGACAACAGCCACTCTTCCAGGGTTTGCTTCATCACAGACATAAAAAAAAAAAACCTACAAACAGCGCTGAAGAACACGTCTTTTGCCACAGCAGCCAAATTAATCCACACATACATCCAACACACAAACATGCACGCAGTCATTCCAAAGTCAAATTGTACCACGACTGCAATCTGGCTTGTCATGCACAATATTTTGTGTTGTTTTTCCTTCACGTGACTCTCGATCAAAATCCTCGGAGCAGAGATAACACGGCGCTGTTTGGCAGCACCGGGTCGACCCGGAATGGTGTGAATACGATGTGTGCGAATACGATGTGTGCGAACATGCACGTCTACAAGAGGCGAGGAGTGAGCGTGTCAAGTGGCTGGTGTTCGTGTCATTGAAGCAGTTGTTTTTTTTCCAGAAAGTCAAGTGTGACTCAGACTAGTCTTCTCTCCTGCGGCCTCTAACTAACGTGTGGCTCAGTCAGAGGGGGGACAGTACATTCTTTTTGTCTCTGTGTTAAATAATAGGGGTCTATGTTATATTTTATACAAAACACAGTGCTCTCCTCAATTTCTCATGAATGTTTTCGTTTTCTCCCTCCAAATTGGACCAGTGTGGGGATCAGGGATATTCCAGAACAGTGGTGGTTTTTCCTGTGCCAGTGGGACAACATGTTTCCAGCATGTTTTTCCCTCTCTCCCTCTTTTTAAATCCAGGTGTCACGCAGTCCGTCTTCATGGATGAGAGGTGTGAGGTTTTTGTGTTGAAGAACAACAAAAGAAAAAGAGGAAGAGTGAGGAACAGCGGGGTGGAGGAGGGATGTATGAGGGCAGCAGTGAGCTCCCCCCTCCTCTCTTGCTATAGCAGCTCCTCTCTTTGCTTTTTGCCTCTGACCGGCCCCTGGCCGTTCCTCAAGGAGCCGTTCTGGGGCCGCAGGAGGTGCCCACGCTCCTGCTCCGTCCACGGGACCCCGCCATGCCCGTCATCACTGTCCAGGTCAGAGTCCGAGTGCATGAGAGCGGAGGAGGTGGGGGCTGGGACAGGCTTCATACGGGCTGGGAGGTGGGTGATGGTGCAGGAACACAGGGAGGACACAAATAAACAGAAGATGTTTTTATTCCTGTTATTCAAACAGGCAGTGTACAAATCATATTTAACAGTAGTGGGACAGACAGTTATGAGTAGCAATGAATATTTTATTTAGAATTGTATCCTGAAGTATGAAGTGGATCAGTCGGTGGTAGTCGGTTGTATGTCCAACGAAATTAGGATTCTACAATTTCTGCAAACCTTCAAAATGCTTTTAGATTTAACCTGTAATTCACAGCTCGGAACAAACAGTACATTGATGTCGAGTGTCTCTCTGTGTCTCACCGGCTCTCTGCGGCTGAAGCTCCAGACTGTCTTGCTCATCAGCTTCCAGCATCTTATATCGACTTTTACTTCTGCGCACTTTGCTCTTTCGTCTTCCAGGGAAAAAAACAGAACATATATTTCATCATCCATCGTTCATATATACATATATATATTATCATTATTATTATTATTAATAATATATTTTCACCTTTTGGGACTTGAACTCACCTGTTGCAGCAACACACCATCCCCCAGACAACTGTTGCCATGGCAACCACAATCATAAAGGATGCTATAGTCACATAGAGTACGCTCCATTCTGAAAACAAAATAATAAATGGAATCAAGATAATACACAAGCTGTTAAAATATGAGCCGTCTCTTTGGGCCTGGAACGACAGCATCAGGAATCAAAACATGTGGACATTGATTCACGAGGAAACAAAACTATGTTGACAGAAGTTTCTCCATCATCTCACCACAGTTGCTCTCTGCGTCTCCGAGCTGAGCTCTGATGAAGTTCTCCATCCAGAAAGGGTGACAGACACATCGCCGCGTGAACGAGTCACACTCGCCGTGTCCGGAGCAGTTCAGCTGACAGACTGAGGGCGGAGGTGACGGTTTAATTTACCTGACATTCATATTCCCGACAGATTAACACCCTCTATCTTTATCTCTTTCCTTTTGTTGTGCATCTCTCTTAAAATCTGTACTTATCAGATACTCACTGACTGTATCCACACGTCGTGCCTTGTAAATGAGGAAGTCGTTCTTCTGTTTGCGCAGTTTATTGCGTAGACCAAGTGCAACGCTGTGACCAGACAGAGGGGGGCGCCCCGGACCGCCTGACACCAGGAAGACCAAGCGAGTACTGAGGAGGAGGAAAAAAAGAAAAAGTAATTCCAACCATGTTCCATGTACGACTCCATGTATTACAGATTTATATATTGCTATTATTAAGGGATTTCAGACCAGAACGACTCACCTGTGCTCATTATACGCACGGATCTCTCGCACTATGATGTCGCTGTCGAGCACGCCCAGTAAAACCCCGACCTGGCGCAGCAGCATGTCACGCTGCCGGTGGGAGACCTGCGATACAGACACCTCCAACACCAGCTCCACCAGGTCACGTTCCCACATGTCTGCCAGAGAGAGGGTGAGATTAAAAAATAAATAAATAAATAAAGCACATGGAAAAAGGTGGGAAGGGTGGAAGAGAGGAGGGAGGGAAGGTGACAAGGAGAAAAAGATGACATGAGGAGAACAGGATCCATCTGAAACGGGGAAATCTGGGAAAGAGGCCAGAGCACCAAGTGACGGATTATCTTCTGGCTGAGCACCGTATGTTGCACACTGACCTGTTCAACCTTCTGCTGTTGGTTGTGAGTCTCTTGCTGTGTAGGCACCATTTGCATAACCAGACTTGTTTAAAAGGAGGAAAATATATATTCTACATTACTCTTTAACGATTAGTGATCAACCTAGGAGGTATTTTATATTTTCATTTTACCTAAACTGTCATTTTCAACTTCTTCTTTAACCAGAAATGTTCTTTAATTCCCAGAATGTTTCACCAGGAAATGTGCTGTAACTTGTGGCATTCAATTCATGCGAGTGAACTAGGGTGGCCACGGCTCAGGTCAGGGGATCGAGTGTCACTACCCCATCGAACTGGGTTCAGATAAAAACTGAGATTATAATCAGGTTTGAGTCAGGTTCCGTCACGTTGGCTGTGAAGTCTACTCCATGTTTTACACTGCACGTGTCTGGAATCGCTGAAGACATCGGGATAGCGTCGGGTTCGGACGACGTATTTTTCAATAGTTACAGTACAGCTGTTACAAAATCAGCATTTCTCTTTGTACGTTTGCTCGTAAAATGCTACAATAAAATAAAACTCGGAACAGAAGCAGAAAACTACACAGAGGCAGGAAATCACAGTTGTTTTCTAACATTGAGAAAGCGGCAGTGTGCGTGAGCACTGTGGGTTTGTGCGTTCACCTGGTTTGACCTCCAAAGTGCCCCTGTCAGTGCTGGTCTGTCCTTTGCTGTCTGTTACTGTCAGCTTGAAATGGTACTTCCCAACCACGAGGTTTCCCAGGAACAGCACTGCCTGGTGGTCAGAGTTGTTCAGTACGTCCTGGTGGAACGGAAAAAAAAAAAGGGTCAAACAAAAACTGTAACTTATATTTTCTAACAATGGAAACATCCAAATGAAACGACACATTTTCTACTCGAGTTTTCATTGAACAAGATCAGATACAGAAAAACAAGATCAGAGCAAAAGCACGTGTTTCTAGTATTTAGTTAAAGGCTGAAAGTGTGTCGCTCACTCCTGCGGCAGGGCTGCTGTCGTCTCTCGTCCACAGGTAGGTGACGCCACCTTTGTCGTCGGTTGAGTGAGATCCGTCCAGAGTGGCGGTCCTGGCCGGCAGCGAGACAGGTGGACTCGACAGGACGTGAGCAACTGGCGGTTGGTCCAGTTCTGGTGGAAAAACATTGTTAGAAGATGTTTGATACAAAACACTGAAGTCAAACTATACCGATGCACAGTCTTCGATATCATCACATCAGTAATAAAAGCAGAAGCTGACAGAGGACTGATGAAGATGACATCAAAACAAAGGTTTAGCACACAGAGACACACACAAGCATCTCCTCACCTTCTCTGATGATAACCGTGACAGTGTCGGTGTTCTTGAGCTTCCGGTCATCCGTTACTGTCAGGGTGAACTCGTACTTGCCAACCTCAAGGCCCGTCACCGTGGCAATGGCGGTGTCTGCGTTCTCAATCTTCACATCAGCCGGACCGCTGATGGTCGAACAGAAACAGAGCGAGAGAGCGAGAGAGCGTCAGGGAGAAATTACTGCGGAAAGACCTTGAGCTGTCGGTTTTGTATGTTTGAATTCCACTTCATTATATTTGAAGGGAAGGATTTAAAGAGCTCTCTATTGATTTTTACATAAAGATCTGTAGTAGGAGACTGGGTCTATAACTCAGTCTGAAAACATTTATTCATGCAGCTCTGATGTGAGCTTTCTTATGTCTGCAAGAATAAGCTGTAATAAATATGATAAGTTATTTTAAGAATGGAAAAAAACAAAATTTAATTTACAAACTAGGAAACAGACTTTGAGAAACAGACATTTAACAGACAGAGAGGGTCAAAGGAGGAGAAGCCATTGGTTAGGGAATGTAGGATTTTGATGTTAGAGCAACAGCATCAACTGAAAATCTAAACCTTAATGAAAAGAGGATAGTTGCTTCAATGCAATAAGACATTTGCCAGAAAAGAAGTGCGTCAGCCTGCGTCTAACAGACCTGGTTTGTTTCCAGAGGTAGGTGGCGATCTTCTGATCGTCGCTGCTCTTACTGCCGTCCAGTGTGGTTCGGTCAACCGGCAGCGTCAGCTCTTTCTCTGGTCCTGCATCTGCAACTGGTGCTTTATTGTTTTCTGGACGGTGAAGTAACAAAAAGATCAGGATAAGAAAAAAAATTTAAACACAAATCTACACTGGACGACATACAGTACTGATGAACAACATGATATGTTTCGTCCACAACCGGAGCATCCAAGAGGAAGAGAAATAAAAAACAATCTTCTTCATTAATAACACAAACTAAATACATCAAACCAGTAAGATCCAGGAAATATACCAGACTTTACCTTCAGATCAGTTCTTCTATTATAATGGAATTTCAGCCTCTTTCAGATATTATCACCCACATGTTTGACTCCGTCTGACCCTGCAGGTGGGTGTCTGTTAATGTCACAGGTCCTGTATAAACACTGTGAGTTTGTCTTGGCAGTGTGAATAGTCTACACTCAGTGCTCACCAGGTTGTGCACTTACATCGGATCTCATTTCTCCGCTTAGCATGCAAATAAACATGAACGTCATTTCTGGTTGCAAAGACAAAATGATGAGGTCTGTTTGTGCCGAAGTAAAATTAATAGAAAAACAGATGTGGCAGTCAGTGTAAATGTTATTGTGTAATCAACGTGTTTTAAAAATACTTTCACTTAATTATGTAAATCGCAGCTTCACACATTAAAAAAGGTCAAGAATAAATAAAAACAGCGACATCATAACTGTCCCTCAGTGTGCTGCTCACACATCTGTGTGTATTTGCACAGAGCCGGTTTGTGGGAGGAGAGCCAACGAGATGTAGCTCAGGGCAAATATCGACTACAGGGGAAGTGGATTTTACATGGCGAGATAAGGAAGTTAATCAAGTTGCAGTCTAAGTGGTGCACAAACACAGACAGCTGAGCAAACAAACTTGGCCCTCAGTCGGGCACATTCCTCCACCAAGGTCGACATCAGGATTTTCTTCCACCAGATCCGGATAATTGTTGGATCAAACTGTGCAAACTCACTTTTTTCACATTCACATTATTTCCTGATAAATTGAAATGCGCCAACAGGGAATATTCAAGAAAATTATTATATTTTTAATCCCTGGACCCTCCCTTCTAAACTGCACTAAACTTGAATATGTTGTTCCCTGAACCTTGTCTTCTCTCTCCATAACGTTTGGCACAAAGCAGTTAGGGAATTAGTGTGAATTTACCTAGTGTGAGTTAATGAGTGAGTACTATAAAGAAGGAAAGGAGTAAATCTGAAATTTCCTCAGTAGCTGATTAACTAAATATGTAGTTGAGCTGTATTAACAGGGTTTTTTCCCCTCAGTCGTTTACCTGGTTGCACGATGACCGTGACCTGGGCGGTGTCCTGCTGTCCGGATGAGTCTGTCACAGTGAGCTGGAAGGTGTAGTCTCCCTCCTGCATTGCTGACAGCTGCAGGATCGGTGTCCGTACACCCTGAAAAGACGCCACCATCAGGTACGATGCCCTCATCCGGCGAATTACAAGATGACAGGTGTGAATTTAAATCTCGTGCGTAGTCCTCGAGTATCTCACCTGCATCTCCACCACTTTGTCTTTGCTCTCGGGGCTGAGGGACCACTCATAAGACAGGGAATCATGGTCGTCTGTGCTTTGGTTGCCGTACAGAATGATGGAGTTCCGTGGCAACTGGATGACCTGAATGAAGAAAGAGGAAAGATCACCTTCTGGTTACCAGGAGCCGTAAACAACTTCGCTAAAAAGAGCATGAATTCCCTATTTTACACACAAAACGAATTATTGCTTATGTAAATTAAAGAACTGAGCCATGATGATGGAAAATGCTAAAGACCTGGTTTGGGCCGGCATTGGCCACAGGCCTGTAGTCCTTGGCTTTGTTGACAGAGAGGGTGGCCTGTGTCGAGTTTGTGGCTCCATCCGAGTCTGTCACGGTTAAACTGGGAGAAAACACCATTCAACAGATTAAATAATCACGAAACAGAAACCAAATAACTTCCCCTCTGACTTAAATATAAAAGTAAATTCTATAAAATCATGTGATTTGCTTGTAATCAGAATGTTGGTAACTTTCAGCCCTAACATTTCTCTTTACTGGAGTAGGAGATAAGTGAGGTGCACTTGTACCTGAACGTGTAGTTCCCAGGCACCAGGTTGGTGAGGGTGAGGATGGCGGTGTCGGCAGAGACCTTCTCCTCCCTCAACGGACCTTTGACCTCTTCCCAGAGCCAAGCAACCACCTTGTCATCATCGGTGCTCTCTGACAAGAAGAGAAACGAGATGTTAGTGGGTTTCAGCTTGTGTTTAATTTGTTTGTGTGCATTGTGTGGGAGACTCACGGCTGCCGTCTATCACCGTAGAGCTGGTCGGCAGGGAAATCTCCTGGAACTTTGGGGAAACTATGGCAACAGGCGGCTTGTTTACCCGCGGCTCTGTGCGATGGAAAACAAGGAATAAGTTTGCAAAGAGAATCAGCAGCTGCCTGTGCAAAAGTCACGATTACAACTGTGTGTGGGTGGAAAGCAGCATCGTCTCCCAGCAATAAGATCTGAGTTTATTAAGTCAACAGGAGGCAATGATTCCTGAATAATCCATCTCATTTAGTGTCAGGGAAGATAAGCCCATCAAATATTAGACACAACCTTCTGTGGGTGGACAAAACAACACAAACACTCAAGTATAGTCTTGCAGTAAAAAGCCTGTAGAGATTTTATATCACGCTGAATGTTCAGCCTCACTTGGTTTGACTGTCACATTGACGTAACCCTCTCCGTGAGCCCCGTCCCCTTCCACCGTCACCTCAAACTCATACAGGCCCACAGTCAGCTGAGAGAGAGAGAGAGAGAGAGAGAGGGAGGAGAGTGAAAATCAAGCAAGCATAAAGAGGAAGTGACCTTTCTGTGTCCTTCATACACAAGTACAACGTTCTGTTCATGTGTTTTATGCATTTTTATTCTCAGCAGAATGTCAGGATGAGAGTTGCGATCGGTACCTTGCTGAGTTTAAGTGTCTTGCTGTGTTTTCCTTCCATCTCCCCGCTGTAATCTTTGGGATGTGTAATCAGACGCCAGTCAAATTTATATTCTGTCCCTGTAGAGGAGCGGCAACATTTCATCAATCGGGACATTAAAACCAAACTGCTCATGCATTCACTTAAAATCAGGATTATTTCCACATGAAAAATTCTGGTATCGTCGGAGCTCGTCAAGGGCGGATCAAAGGATTATCAAAATTATGACAAGCATTGCTCTCGATAACTGTATAATCTTTTTCCAGTCTGCATTTGAAAATCTCTGGCAGGTGTTTCGTCTGACGAGCAGCATGTGACTCAGGAATATAACTGTCAAGCAGGTTGAATTTTATTACTCATTGAACTATGACAACGCTAAATGAGTGAGTTCGCTCCTAAGCTACATAAAAAGTCTAAATATTTTCTGACCATTTACAAACTATAAAAAATATTCACACACACACACACACACACACACACACACACACACACACACACACACACACACACACACACAC